CAGACTGACACAGGGAGGGCTTCCGAGTTCCCCGGCCCCTTTCTCGAATTATGCCTCTTCTCTTCTTTCTTTCTTTTCTACTTTTTTGGCTTCTGCCCCTTTTGTCCTCCTCCTCGTCCCTCAATCTCTCAAGGGCTTCCCTGCATCTCTGGCGTTCTCAGAGGCATCATTCAGGCATGCCCCATCGAGCAGCTCATCTGGTGTGACACGTCAGGGAACAGAGCGGCCATCTCACCGATCCATTGTCTCCCTCCAGAGCTGGCTCAGGCCATCCGTCACTTAAATGGGCCAGCAGGCCATGCACCCTTGTCAATTCGACCATGAGGAATTTTCATGTTTTCTAAGAGGCAGGGAGGGTCCTATTAGTGCTTTTAGGGTGCCTTGTCACAGGTGCCTTGGGAGCAGCTGACAGGAACAGCAAGAAGACTAAGACTCGCAGACCATTTCAGGGTGGGTCCTAAGAGGACAGGGAGACTGGTTCGTGGTGCCCCCCGAGGCCTAGCCAGGTGAATTGGTCTGGCTTTCTTAAGCTAGGGCTTTAGGTTTGCTATAAAGAATAACATTCCCCCATGACAGTACTGAGACCCTGGTGAGACCATTCAGGATATCTGCTACTACCCTGAGGGAAGAGCTCCTCGGTGACAGACTAAAGTGGGAACTACCTTGTCTTTGGAGCCCAACAGACCTGGGTAGGAATTCAGCTCTGCCATTTGTAAACATGTGTGACTTTGAGAAAGTTGCTTGACCTCGTTGAGCCTCACGTTCTCACCCGAATGGCATGGAGTAATGAGGATTAAGTGAGATCATGTACACACCTAAGTTCAGTCTTCTTAAATAATCAGTCCCTCCAGGTTTCACAAATGTCTCCAGGAGAGCCATTATCTTCCAAAGCACCATGTTCACTAGGCACTGTGTGTTATCTCATTTAATCATCATACACCAAGCGAGTAAGGCATCGTTTTCTCTATAAAAGTAGATGATCATGCTCCAGCTCTATTCTAATGTATCAACAGGGAACTCAAATATAGGACCATGTGTTGCACCAAAACCCTACTAGAGGGGACAAGCAATGGTCACCTAGGAGAAAGGATGAGTCTGAACCACAAGGAGAGGAGAATGGCAGTGAGGGTCAGGGGTGTGCTGAAGTCTCTTCCTGGAGATTCCCAAAGGTGTTTTCCCCTCCATGAGCTGAGGTACCCAGAAGTTCCCTCGCTTCTTCCGTTCTCAAGAATAATTAATTTAAGTAGTAATAATCATAGCCTCTACCACTTGGAGCACAGGTAGCATTTGCCAGGCCCTTTGCTTCATGTGATTTCTCTCATTAAAGCCTCAAAGAAACGATCCTGTGAATCTGGCATTCGCATTTGGCAAATGGGAAACTCAGGCTTAGGAAAAATGAACAACCTGCCCAAGGTTAAGAAAGAATAAACGGTGGGGCCAGGATGTGCGCCTAGGCAGATGTCAGGGCCATACTCTTAGACCACTGTTGCCATGAAGAATGCAGGTTTCACCATTCATTTCTCAACTCCTATTTTATTTTATTTTTTATCTTATTTTATTTTATTTATAGTAGCAAAGTTTTCTTGTTTTTATTAATTAGTCTTATTATTGTATATATTGTACAAAAGTGGAAATATAGAGAAGTATAAAAAGGAGGAAAATCACCCTTAATCCCATCACACAAAATAAATTCATTCTAGAGTTTTTTGTACATCCTCTTCTTGACCTTTATCTATACTCTCATCTCTCTCTCACACACATCTAATATATTAAATATACAAGTAAACTAAGCTCTATACGTTTAGAGTATATATCATTTACAAAAATGAATAGATACTCTGCAAACTATTAGTAACTGGCTTTTAGAGTTGATCATCCTATTTGAACACCTCTCTCATATCATTATATATTAGGAAACGTGATTTCAATAGTTGAATAGTAGCTCACAAGGTTTTATTACTTTTTTATTTTTATTTTTTCCAAACTCACTTTCATGTGTCTCTCTCTATCTTTAGTACATTATCTATCTCCTACTGGCATTTTCTTCCCTCTCAGCTGGAGTTCCTTTTAAAAATAGTTATTTTTATTCTATCAATTCTACCTCTCTGAATCTTGTTATTTCTGATTGTTTTCCAGCAATCTAAACCGGTTTACAAAACCCTGTAATCATAACCCCACTTTGGGGAAAATTTGGTGGTAAGTAATACTTCCACCTGACTTCCACACCCTAAAAGAAGTTATTTCACATCCTCAGGTAGGTTTGGTTTCTCTTCTGGGTAAGAATTTCTCCACAAATGCTGATGGAAAGAGAAGGTGCTCCATGGTCTGCAACTCCAGCGTCCCGCATACAGAGAAGTCAGCCCATGCTGACCGCACCTACCTTATGACTGTTTGCTTGTTGGGGTCATAGAGAGACATGAAGAGCTCAGCATCTTCCCCAATTCTGCACACAAAGTTTCTCACAAAGACATAGAGGCTGTGGGTAGGGGATGAGGAGATCCGGGCATATGTTCCATAATCTGCCTGGTCTTTTGACTGAGAGACAAAAGAAAGAAGGGAAGAAGATGGAGAAAATTAGCTCAGTACCACTTAGGACAACAGAAAGATGGTCTAGGATATTGAGAATCATGTACGATTCAAGCGTGAAGCCTTTGGCGTTATTCCCAGCTCTACCACCACGTTTCTGCAATCTGAGATAAGTCACTTGGACTCTCTTGGCCTTGATTTTCTCACTTTGAGAAAATCATCACTGACCCAGCCTCCCTCTTAGTATCATAAAAAGCACAAACTATAAAAGAAAAAGACTGCTCATATGAATTTCATAAAAACTAAGAACTTTTGCTTTTTGAAAGAAAAAAAAGCCAGGCACAGACTGGGAGAAAATATATTTGCAAAACATATATCTGACAAAGAATTTGTATCCAGAATAAAGAATTCTTACAACTCAAGAATAAAAAAAAAAAAAATCAGTCCAGTTAAAATAGGCAAATTATTTGAACTGACACTCCGTTAAAAAAAAAGATACAAATAGGATGGCCAGTAAGACATGAAGAGATGCTCAGCATGACTAGCCATCCAGAGAACTGTAAGTTAAATCACAATGATAACACTACACAACCACTAGAATGGCTAAAGTTAAAAGGCTGACAATACCAAGTGATAACGAGAATGCAGAGCAGCTAGAACTCTCATATGTTGCTCATGGAAATGCAAAATTATATAGCCTCTTTGGGAAATAGAATGGCAGTAGCTTAAAAAGTTGAATGTACACTTATAAGATCCAGCAATTCTACTGCTAATTATTGCCCCCGCCCCCCGCCAAAATAAAAAGTTGTCCACACAAAGATTTATATGTAAATGTTCACAGCAGTATCAGTTCTAATAGCCCCAAACTGGAAACAACTCAAATGTCTAATTGGTCAATAATATGTGCCATTGACAACTGGTCAATGTTATAACAACTAGCGATGAAAAAAATAACATTAATAAACACAACAACATAAACATCAAAAATATCCTGCTGAGTAAGAGAAGTCAAACACAAAAACCATATGATTAAACTTACATGAAACTGTAGAAAAGGCAAAAGTATAGTCACAAAGAGCAAATTGGGAATTGCTGTAAAGGGGATTGATTGGCTGTAAAGGAATTCAAGGAAATTTTAAAGGTGATGGAACCATGCAACATCTGGATTGTGGTAGAGTTTACCCAACACTATATATTAATAAGATTCGTTAGACTGTAGTTTAAAATAAGTTAATTTTAGTGTGTGAAAATTATATCTCAATAAAGCTAAAATTAAGGTTGCTTTCAAATAATATACAGTGATTAAAATTTTTTAAATTATAAGTCAGATTATATTAACCTTGAAAATATTATGTTTCTTTGAAATCTTTTGTTGGTTTCCTATCACACTTGGAATAACATCTTAACTCTTTTCCATGACTTCTCACGTCCCGTGAGAGCCAACTCCTGCTATCCACTTTGCCAAATCATCACCTACACTCACTCATTGCTCATCATACCCCATCCACACTGGTCTTTCTACTCTCTGAACATGCAGAACTCAGTCCCACCTCAGGACTTTGCACTTTCTGTTCCCTCTGCATAGATTACTTTGTCCCTAGATCTTCCCAGGTTTGTGCCTTCACATCATACAAGTGTCATCTCAGATGTCACTCCTGAGAGAGACCTTTCTTGATGGTACCTTTCAAAATAGCTCCTGATTCACTCTGATTCACATAACCCTGGTTTATTGCCTTTTAGAAACTTATCACCACCTGGAATTAATTTGCCCATTTATTTGCTTTTTTACTGCCTTGCTTCTTTTCTCCTCTCTGAATTATAAAAGCTCTACAAGAGCAGGAAACTTACCTGGCATTAAACTACCTGTAGGATGGACGCAGAATGAATTATAGATCCCAATACAAAAATGCAACAAAACGTGTGTGGTTACTGATCATCTCAGACAATAGGACAGATGTCCCCTTGAAAAATATATAATCTAGTTAATTAGCCTATTATTTTAAGTTTATAGTGTGCTAAATGTCTGCCTCACTTGGCCGGGGCCTGTTTCACAAAGCTCACCATTTCTTCCTTGATACGCTCTGTGATTTTTTCAGTTGCTTCCTCATGGGCATGGAATAAACTGATGACACTGGTATTATCAGGGTCCAAGATATTTCCATCTTCATCTCTGACAATCAGATCAAGTTCAAGGATTCTGAAAAGCAAAATAGGAGGTGAGGATAAATCAGAAGAGACTGAAGCCTTTAGGACATTGGCAAGGAGTTTCTACCAGAAAGTTGACCTGGTTTCTGGAGATCACTGACTCTCATGAAACAGCTCTACACCAAAGACCGTACACACAGCTGAGAGTCATATTGGTACAGTACAGCACAGCCTCTTTGGGAGGGGGGACTATGTCAATGTATATTAAAATATTTTAAATGTACTTCCTGTGATATTGAACCTAGAGAAACATCCCACACTTGAACAAGAATGTGTACTGAAGCATTATTTGCATTATCATAATGTTGAAAAGAAAAAAACAAAACGTCTATCAAAAGGGGAAGGTTAACTTAATTGTTATCTGTCATGAAATCCCATAAAGCAGGGTTTTGAAAATATGACATTGTTTGGTGTGTTTAATGATATGTCTCAGAAAGAAAAAAGTATGGACACATGCATACAGTATATTTTATATATAAGAAAACAAAGACACAAACCAAGCCAGATACGTTATCTGGGTGCATGGAATGGACACGAGTAACAATGAACAGAGAGAAAAGTCTGGGCAAAAGGCACCAAATTACTGATACTACCAAGGATACCCGTGAGAGAGGCAAGGCTCTGGGACTAGCAGGGATGGAGGACTCAAAGGAGACATGTGCCCTATCTCATTTTGTTTAATGTAATATAATATAGATGCAGAGAAAGTATTCATGTATATTTATTCAATAATCATTTGAACTTGGTTGGGGGAAATCTCATTTAGCTCTTCAGCCTTGACTTCCATGCCACAAGCTTTCCCATTTGGTCTGATTTGTTTCAACTGTACCTGCCACCCTGGCATCTATGATACTAGAACAGCAAAGACTCACACAGCATTTGCAGTCAGCTTACATGTTAAATGTTTTATGTATATTAAGGCATTTAACCTTTATAACAGTCCTATGAGGGAGCTGTTATTAATACCCCCATTTTACAGGTGAAGAAAAACTGAGGATTTGGGAGCTAATTAATTTGCTCGAGATCACACAGCTAGTAAAAGGTACCATGACATCCTAGTCTTCACTCTTAACCTCTACAGTATATTTTCTAGATAGGAGCAATATTGGGTTGGGACAAGGGGTAGGTTTGCAGAGGCCTTAATTTGAAGTTGCTTTTGTACTTCATGTTGAGATGGAGGCCCTCAGGTGTCCGCACAAAGGAGGTAGGGGGAAGTGGGTTGACAGAGACTGTGAGAAGGCCAACAGCGGTCCTACTTGGGCACCACTACCGAGTACCAGCTGGAGGAAGGCCAGCAAGGATAAATAAAAGAGACTAAGTTTTTGTCTCTTATTTGAGAATCAAATTGAGAGGCACATCTCTCATCTCATCCAAATGCAAACGGAAGGGAGCCAAGGTTCATCCGTTTGTCCACATTCATTAGGAAATTAACTTCCAACTAGATGTGACTCATAATGTTGCACAGCCATGCTGCCGAGCGGGCGATGCTCCGGGGGAACAAATGCATTCAACTAATGCTGAGCAGAGGCTCACGTGACCTTGGAAAAGATGGAGCAAAGCCGATACATAATTTAATGCCAAGATCTCTCTGGCTCTTTCTCTTCAAAATTTATCAACATGGGTATGGTTCTAAAATGTATGAATAAAACATACTCCCAGGTGCAGCTCTCATGGGATTTGGAGGGGTCATTTGAGGATTCCTTCCCCATTCTTTGAGTACCAGAGAGCTTGTCCATTATTAGACCCCTTGAAACGTGGGAGTGTTAGTAGTCAAGGGGTAGGATTGTTGGGATTCCCGTAACCCAGCATCAGGAGAGGCTGTCCCCCAATAGGACAGCAGACCATTCATTTTGGAGAACTGAGAATTTTCCCATTTTCTCCTCAGGAGATAATCCCACTGCTCCCTTCTGTTCAAGAAAGTAATACAGTGAACCCAAGACAAAGGTGAAGGAAGAAGCCCCACCGATTGCATTTTTCAAAATAAAAAATTTATTTTCAAAAAAAACCAAAAAAACAGAAATGGCTCCTTCTGTGGCTCACCATCACTCTCAGGACAAATCCAAACTTCTCCATCTGGCGCTCAGGCCCGCAAAGCTCTAGGCTCTGTCTGCCTTCCTCTCCATGTTCATGTTCGCCTTGCAGCTCCTCCCATCATCTCTCTCTCTCCCTCCCTGCATTTCTTCACCTAATAATTCCTGCAAGTCTTGTGAGATTCAGAGCAGATGTCAGGCTCTGCCCTGCCTCCCACCCCCAGCCTCCCCACACCCTCTGTCCATGTTTCCTCCTCTCATGAAATGCATGACTTTCTACTCAAGTGTCTGTTTGCTTCTCTCTTTCTCTCACTAACCCATGTAGTCCTGGGGAGGCAACAGAATGTAGTGGTTAAGCACCCCGACTCTGAGTCCCTGAGTCAAGCTACCTGGCTCAATTTCCAGTGCACATTGAGCAAAATGATCTGATCACTCTGTGAGTCTCAGTTTTCTTCATCTGAGAAACAAGAACTGTCATGAGACATAACTGAGTTAATACCTGGAAAGTGCTTAAAATAGTACCTGGCAGATAATAGGTACTCAGTAAGTCATTATTAGTTCTTACTGGCTTCTTGTTATTAAATATAGAGGCCGTACTTTGTAAATGTCCTTGGGGCCTACCACATGCTCAACAAAAGTATGATGTCTGAATGAAGGAACAGAGTGAGGGAGGAGGACTAACAGGCTGATTCTGATCAATCCTTCAAGACTCAGTTCCTGTCATGCCTCCCTGACTCTCACAGCCTAAGGCCTAGGCTCCCGACAGAGGCCTGGTCTTCTGACTTTCAGGAAACCACCTACCCCACCCGCTCAGAGCTCTGAGGCCCCAAGGTAGCAGGCCAGTGTTAAATTAAGGTACACAAGTCTCTCTCACTTCCAGCTGAAGTCATCTAGGGAGGGAGGCAAGAAGAAAGGGGCCCCTTCGCTCAGGGCCTCTATCTCCAAGGGCGTCTCTCACTTCCCCAAAGGGAACTGACTGAAACTGAAACCCCAGGGCTGGCCTGGGCGATGCTGCTGATGCAAAGCTGATTTACAGAGGGCTCTTTTTCTCCTCTTTGACCCGTCACCACCATGCACTGATTACCTACTACATGCAGATGCTGTTCCTGGCACATAGAGATGAGTTGACAGTCACTATCTTAGAAGAGCTCCCAGCACAGCAGGGGAGACAAGCCAGTAAGGAGGTAATTACTGGTCAGGGTGCTCAGGGCCTGCAAGAGCCCCTAACCTGGGCCAGGGTAGGAGGCGGAAAATCAGGGAAGGCTTCCTATGAGTGGTGGCCATTTCTTCCAACCTTGTTCCTTTTTCTTCGGAACCTTCATGAGGAAACGACATCTGAAGGTCACAGATGCCATTATTATAAAACAGCAAAACTCTCTCAATTCCCACACTCCCAGCTACAGCTGTGCTCAGACGCCACTGCACCAATGGCAGCAGCAGCTGCATGGCTAACTTTTCCCGTCACTTTGGGATGATGTACACGATAAGCAGATCTGGACACGCTTGACAGCTGCCAGCAGAAGAACTAGCAGAAGGACTACTATGCTCCTGGGATGGG